AATGACACATTAAGGTGTTAAAATATGTTAATCAAAATCAAACTTTCTAAATCTAGTCTAAAATTAAACCTTTTGGAGCAACCTAAAACCTTTTGGAGCAGCAGCTCTTGGTAACTTTTAGGCGAGCTTTCTACAATTTTTATTTTTTACTTATTTTGCAGCATATTGCGCAAGATGTTTTCTTGACCAAAATTGGTTTTTCAAAAATTGTTATTACTGCTTTGCTTGATAAATTAAGAAAAAAGACATATATATAAGAGATTAAATGAGATATATTTTAAGAGGATGTTACGGCATATAAGAGATTAAAAAATTGCATGCAGGATTTTTTAACGGGCCGAAAAAAGTAAGCAAAAGGGCCGGATCCGGTCCGGGGACCGGCTTTTGTCCACCTCTGATTTATAATCAAGTCGTTAATTATAAGGAAAAGCAAACACTGGTGGCTAGAAATAGAGGGGTCTGCGGCTTCGGAACTGTGCAAAAATGTGCTGGGCCGTTTAAATATCTAACTTCTGTGCCTCACAGATTTATAGACAGGAAAATATAGAAAAACTGAATTCTTTGAATGTAATTTTGTACTATAAAAATGAATTATTAAGTGATAACTATCCCTCAAATAAATTGTACCAGCCCTTCTACAGCCTAGCATTATGTGTAAGCATTTTCGTGGTTTTGCTTAAGTTTAATGTAAATATGAGCCTATTTTCCCTAGAAAATTCTCCACGAAAGCATACCTTTATCAGGCGCCCTTCATGTGCTTTTTGATGTTCAGTGAAACAACCACACAAAATCTCCTTTTGCGTAAGATGATTAAATATAAAATCTAGGATACTTTTGATAAACAATTAGGGCTGTTTAATTAATGATTTTTAACTGAAACTGGATCTGATTATTTGCTTATAACAATGTTTTCAGAGCTTTCCAACTTATAACTTACATGTATATATTTCTAAAGGGGGGAGAAATTTCTAGACGAAAATAATGTAATAATAAAATTTTAATAAACAGATAGATATATAATCAATAAAATCATCTGGGAACGATAATTTTATTCGCAGTTAATGAGTACATAATATGTTATTAATGATTCGAAAAGTGGATACTAATATTACTAAACTGTTTAGTAATACATAAAAGAAAAAGAGCACTTCAGAACTTTTCGCGTCCTATTAAATTTGTCTCCGTTCTGATACCATGTACATCCATATACGTATGTTTGTAACTACTGACTTACAGTAAAGAACAAATGAGAGTTCTCCCTGTAATTCCATTCAATTTTCCCCCTGATCTATTGATACTGAACGAGACCTTAAAACATCTTTGTGTTTACAATATATCTCCCCTTACGACCTCTAACACAACCATTTACTTTACCCTTCGCATTCTCCTCTTCTTGACCGCATTTGGGACGACACGTTATGAAAAGGATTAAAATTTTATCAGATCAATTCTTAACGACGAGGTAATTAGTGTTCTTTTGTCGGCAGGCATGGAAACGGTCAGTATTTCCTTTCAGTCCAGTTTCAAATCTCCAGGCGTTAGAAAGCGGGAAGTATTCTAATCGCTTTCACACAGATGAATGCAGTTTTCCCACAAAAAGCAATTTATTATTTTATCTTCAGATGAAATGTATGCTACAACTAGAAAATATTGTTCCGCAAAAATGTTTCATTTTATGATTATAATATTTTTTAAATCTTGCACTTAGATTATGTACTGAAAAATAAGCGAAGCAATCAAAGTTAAATATATTCACTTGTTATATTATTCAGTGAATTAAAATATTCAAACAATATATACATTTTCGTTTTAAGTAGTATAATATTCTGATATTGAAGAGCAAATTAGGGGGTGTCAGCCACTTCTATACCGACAATGTTAAATTGGCCATTTTCGATGCACATTTTCTCAAATCTGCTGTAGATACACGCTTGAAAATTTTTTGTGTAATTAAAGTATACCTATTTGATTATACTCAAATGAGCTTCTGAAGCATTTTGATTTTAGAGTACTTTACAGAACATTTGTTAGACATAGTAAACTTTAGCACTTTTCTCACACACACAGAAAAAAAAAAAAATAGTAGTTTTAGGTTATGTTATGTTATTTAATTACGGCAAAGCCTCGAGGGCTATCTGCCTAAGGGGAGGGATGCCTTCGTGAAGGACTTTCTAAGGGTGGTGTGGTGTGGTGTATTTAATTATGGCAAAGCACACTAGGGCTATCTGCCTAAGATGAGGAATGCCTTCGTGGAGGACTTTCTAAGGGAAACCGGCTCGTATACACGTTACACATGCGGTAAACCACGAAAACAACCCATGCAGCCAGCCGTTCGCGGGATTCGAACCTCGACTCGACCGAACTACCAGTGTTCAGCGACTTTACCGCTCGGCCGCTGGTGGGCAAATAGTAGTTTTAAGTTTATCACAAAAAGCTCATTCCAATAAATATTAGGAAACTTAAGCCATAAAAATTTTAGATACCTGTGAGCAGTAGTTCCTGAAAAAAGGTACGTCGAGTATAAAGAGATCACGTTTGGAAAAAAACGCATTTTTATGTAAAAATCCTCATTTATCAAAGCATTCGGTGACAAATAAAAACTACTTTTTTTACAGTTCTAATTTTCATAGAGATTAAAGAATGGTATTTTTAGAAAGATAAAAGTGTTTTACAATAATTTTTGAAATTTGAAAATGCAAAAATCCGAAATCACCATTGTTTGAAGATTTTGGGATTCCAACACCCCTTAAATGGAGTTGATTTATTACAAGTATCACTGAAAAGCATTTTTGAATTTACAAATGAATGTTATTGCTTGTACACCTCTGGCAAAATTCATATCTGGAGAAATAGAAATTGGTCCCTGAGTTTGTGCTGCATTGAATCATTACTGAACAACACGTGCACTAACAAAAATTTACGAATGTACGAGGTAAGAATTTTTTTAAATTTATTTTTCTTCTACGTGACGTTCCAAATACCGGTCCCAGGTTTGATCTGCCTTTATATCAGGGATATAAGATCTTTGATCTTTTTAATCGCTTCATAGTTTTGGGTTCGGGAAAGAAATGCAGAAGCAACTCTGAATTTTAAAAACCTAGAACTTTAGAAAACGAAATTCTTGTTTAGTTGAGTTTTAATGTACTCAAAAACAAAAATTTAGTTTTATCACTTAGAGGTATTAGATATTACTTTTACCTTAGAATAGAAGGGGGATATATTGTTACTTTATTTATATTGCTGCTGCATTTTGTCTTTGTCTTAGAAGGCAAAATTGCATATTCAGGAACGCATTAAAATTTCAAAAACATAAAGGTCTTTGTCAAATGGCGAAATATTTCTTCAGTTTTTTATGAGCTATATTTTCAGAAAACTAAAATCGCCTTTGAGGTATCAGATTGTTATGCGAAATTTTCAGGTCTCAAATCTTTTTATTGGCGCTTTCTTTGGGAGTAATGAAGCTGGGAATGAAGATTTGTATTGAGTTGATGAGTATTAGTGAAGATTCGTACTGCGAATTTAATTCAGGGAAACTAAGAAATGGTGCACATCTGTATGCATGCTTAGTATCCTAACATATTGTTTGATTCCCTCCAAAATACAATTCTCACGCAAAAATTAATTACTTTCCTAACGCTACCTGCTACTCAATGTCAAGGCTGCTGAATACTGGTAGTTCGACTTGGGTTCGAGAGCAGGCAATCGGGATGGTTGCATAGTTGGTTTTCCTTGTTTTCTCCATGTGAAACGTGAATACGAGCCAGTTTCCCTAAAAATTCCCCACAAAGGCATCCTTTCCCTTAGGTAAGCAGCCTCGTGCACTTTCCCATGTTGAATTAACCTAAACTAACGTAGCTACTTTCTGAAGGAATTGATACAGATATCATAGTATAGACGCAAACATACAACAACGGATAAAGTAATAAGTTTGGAAACTTAAATTTTTGAATTATAAAATGTTCTACACTAATTGCTTTAATAAAATCTCGTTTTTCATTTGTCGCACAGTTGAAATTTATTTTGTCATCAAAATTATTCATAAAAGGAAGAAAGAAGGTTTTCTAAACATAGTTATTATACTGTCATAAGTTTAGCTTTCTTATTTCGAATATAATTTTACTTTTATTTGTCGGATTAAAGAAAAGGTTATCTGCCTAAACGAAGGGGGTTTTCGTGAAGGACGTTCGAAAAAATTTGGTCATATACCCTTTATATATATGGGAGATCGCGAAAAGTTCATGCAATCATTCCGTTCATCGGAGTTTGAATGCGGGTTGAATTATCGATGTTAAAGAAATTTATTCGCTCGGTCGCTAGTTATCGTTTAGAACAAACCAAAATTTCCCTCCAGGAAACAGTAGTCGTGGAATGCATACCATTTAGAAATAATATTAAAATTAATTTTCATCACCTGAAGCATTTATATTCATTACACTGCTTTTACATGCACATTAAAAACTGGAATAAATTGAAAAAACAATCATGAAACGAATGATGTAAAGAAAATTTCCTTTACATTTAGCCATTATTTGAAACCGAACTCGGAAAAAATGCTAAATGTCAAGTGAAAGACCTAATAACGGTATATTTGCAACAGTAAAAAAACTGAAAGATCTTTAAATGCAAACGCGCGAAAATCAGAGTAACAAATTATTCTTTTTATTTTCTCCTCTCAATAAAATATTTCTCGAAAGCTACCGAATTCACAAACAAGCCATGTGAGTTCAAAATACTGGCAATTTCGCCCTCCCCCCCTCTACCCAGTAGCGGAATCCCACAAGAGAACATACTTTCCGAGGTGTAAAATAATCTTCAAGCCTCAAGCACTAGAATTCCTACGCCTGCGACTAGCAAGAAACTGTCCCGAGCCGTGACCTTCTCCCTCTCGAAGGTCACGCCCGAGCCCCCAGTTGCTGTACACTTAGTTCGGGACGTATATGTTCCAGCTATTTAATCTATTTATAAACCAGTTTTAATTTTTCAAATGTAGTTTTTTACAGGCATATAATATTTCCACGATATCCGAAGAGAATGAATTCCTTCCGGGATTGGCCTATACGCCGAATCAGTTGTTCTGGATAAGTGCAGCACAAGTAAGTGTTAGTTTTTCATAGCTTCTTATGTCTCATTATAGTCATTTCATCAAAATATTGGCTACAAGTATTGCTGTGCGTACGTAGTATTTGGAATTCATGTTCACTCCTAACTGCCACGGAGATGAAAATTGATGCCGTGAACATTACTATTTAAGCTTGAGTATCAGATATTTCCAAACAAGAATGAAAAGTATTTCTTCAGTCATAAAAAGACGTGATAACAAAGAAAGCATTTTGCCCTACTCTAAGCTATGTTTCTGTTTCTGATTATCATCAGCACATGAACATCCTAGTTATCATCAGCACATGTTCCTGATTATCATAAGCAACAGGCCATTTTGTTGGCAAAGCCAAAGACTACAATTTAATGACCTGTCCATGATTCTCAAGTGTATTTCCTTCCTTGCAATTTATATCACTTTTCCTTCATTTGTTTCACTTCACTTTGTAACACACTGACTTTGTTGTTCTATGTTATAGAGAGCTATAAGTCTTGTATATAGCATTTATTTCCTTGATTTTTTCACTTTATGCGTTTAGTATTATTATGGTATTTTAATCTCAGTTTTTGTGTTGTATATTGCTTGCTGATTCTAGTGTATAGTATTTATTGTTTGATTTACATTTTATTTTTCATTCTGTCTTCCATTAACCATTTCACTACTCTACTCAAGTTCTGAACTCACATTACTGTTCTCACATTACTACTACTCTACTCAAGTTTTTGTGTTATTTAATCTTGACTGTACCATTTAGTGTTTTCATCTGCAAGTTCTATATGGATCGTGAGTACTTTGTTTTTATTGGCATTCATTTTGAGGTCACGGATCTCCGTATTCATGAGAACAATTGGTATACTCTCTTACCAGCCTTCTTCCACTGGTAGGATTGTCTTTGACCGATTTCATGCGCTGTACCGACATTGCATATAGATACTGATAAGTCCGGGATGTCTATATAAAAAAACATGAGCAGTTTTTCCATTTAAGCAGGGTTTCATAAGAAGCCATTGATTTTTATAAGGTGATGATCAACATTCTACGTAGAGTGTGCCCAAAGTTCTAGGAGCTCTATTCGAATCCTAGAATTTATAATCAACGCTATAGACCAGAGACTAATCTTGAAATGTTTATACAGTACCACAAGCAATATTATTTAGACAGAATCATGGTTTTAATTGATACAGGTGCGTTTTTATAGCACTGTTTTTGAAACTAATAAAAATGCGAAGTGCAAGCATTTTGTATTTGTTGAAAGAGGGTGTGAAAACTTCAGAACTTGTTCAACGCCTGCGAGGAGTATTCTGTTTTCCCATATGTTCTCACATTTCAAAAAAACCCTAACGGTGTATAAAATTCACGAATTTAACCATGCCTTAAATAGGAGGATTCGGGAGACACAAAAAACGTTCTTTGAGGGTGGTTAAAAATTATTTTTACCTTGGTATAAGTGTATTCAATTAAATGGGGATTACATTGAAAAACTGCATTGTAAATATTGGTGCAAATTGATGGCATAAAATAATTACACATAAACTCTTAGAAATCTAGAAATATATCTGGCATGTTTATGCATTCTGTGCAGTTATTTTGATGCTGGCTTCCAAGATTTACAGACGAATTATACAGGTAAGGTTTACAGAAGGAGCTCTACTCTGTGGGTTTCGGCTAGATTCGGAGTTAGTCTATTTGAATGTTTGAAATATTTACCACGTTTCTGCGTTAGTGGTGTGAAAATACTTTTCAAAAGAAGCATTTTTATTTCCAACTCGCGAGATTGTTGCGACTCGGAAAAATGAGGGCAAAAATTAACGTTTCAGAGGTTTTAATTACTATCTCTTCAGATAATAATGATATGAAGATGGGAATAGTCGAAATAACTTTCCACGAATTTTTGGAATCGGGAATAATATATTTAATGTTTGATAATGCTATTTTTATTTCATATTTTGTAAAACTTCGAAAATTTTTATTAAAAAAACTCTACGCTTTGAAAGCGATTAGTGGCAACACTTCTCGAAATAAAGTAGATTTTTATTTCCAATGTGCGAGTCTGTTGCCACTCGGAAAAATGAAATCCAAAATTAGCGTTTTCAGAACTTTTAACTAACATTTTCTCTAACTAAAATCGCACGAATGGACGACATGGCTTTCCACAAATTTTTGGAATCTCGGGGTACCTCTCTCGAAATTCAACTACCCGCCGTTCCGGAGGAGATAATACGACAAAGAAACCAATCAACAATCAAATAAAAAAAAGAGACAGACGCGAACAGGTTTAATAGTGTAGGCTTCTGCATGCCATAGTTTATTATATTACTGCTTCAAAGTTTACGCCCACCAGCGGCCGAGCGGTAAAGTCGCTGAACACTGGTAGTTCGGTCCGAGGTTCGAATCCCGCGAACGAGCTGGCTGCATGGGCGTTTTCGTGGTTTCGTGGTTTTCCCCATGTGTAACGTGTATACGAGCCAGTTTCCCTTAGAAAGTCCTCCATGAAAGGCATCCCTCCCCTTAGGCAGATAGCCCTCGTGTGCTTTGCCATAATTAAATACACATACACATACGCTTCAAAGTTTGCGTATGTCACTTAATCTTAAAGCCATAAAAAAGTGAATATTAGGGGATAAGCAGCCAGGAACAAGTTGTTCCAAAAATCACAAAGCTCATATCCTGAGATTGTCATGTCTTAGAAAACAATCGGTGCCATTGTTTTCTTCAGTATGAGGACCTGAGGAAATAGTATTAAAGCATTCTCAATTTTATATTTTTGCTGTTACTTTTGCTATATAATGCAAGAACTAAAAAAAATGTATTCATCAGTAAGGAATCCTTGGACAAAACTTTAGTCATTGATAACACTGAAAAATGAATAATCGGAATAAAAACGTTTTATAATAAAGTACTGCTACGTGAACTACTTTTTTTTCCAAAACCATTTAAAAAATAGATAATTGATAAGTTGTGAAGCCAAAGGCTAGTAAAATTCCTCTAAAAATAGAGGAAAGCTTCACCTTTTTTGAACAGTAAAATGTGTAGAACATTTTTATCTGCGAATTTCTATTTCGCAGTATGATGTTCCAAATGCGATGGTGTGATCATTAGGTCTAACTCAGTCACTGATAAAACATTCATTTGTTTCTGTAGGTTTCCCTAAATTTCGGAAACGAAATTTATATTGAATATTATTATTTTAAAATCATTAAAAATATATTTATATTTTTTTGGAATACTCCTTACTTGTTCAAACTATTATAACAATCATCATATTGGAAATACACTGGAAGATGTTCTTCATTTCAGCCGAAAAAAAGATGGATACCACAGAATACTAGTATTGTAGTAGTGTAGCAGTATGAATACTAGAGAATACTAGTATAGTAGTATGAATAATAAAAAATGCTAAGTATATGAATACTAGGATGCTAGTAGTTTATTTGATGGAAACTAGAGAAACCTTCAAAGATGCTATCTTGGCATTCAACATTTATGACACACTATTAAATGTGAAAAATTATTACTTCTAAGTGTATTTGGAAAATACTATCCTGATCTGTTTTCTTACTGTTAGTTCTCTAATTTAACTTTTGAATGGAAATTTCCTTGACTTCTCAGACCTATGAGAAATCAAGATAAATCCCAGGGAATAAATTAATATCATTCCTCTTTGACTTTATCCTATGCAAAAATATTGCAAATTTTAGCTTATATTTGGTACTGCCCTTAATAAGCAACGTTACAGTGCACTCAAAAGTATCAGCAACGTCTTCAATTGAGTCAATAAAATGTTATGGAAATGTAACACTATCAAAATTTTAAGTTGAAGGTTAATAGGAACTTCCCGTTAGTGCACTACAAAATCGAAAACGAAAATGCTAAATTTTTTCTGATTAACGAATCGATATATTAGAATGAGGAGTATAAAAATGAATCAAAGATTACAAGAAATACACTGCACTGCTTTGCTTCAAATATTGCATCACTAAACAATTGTTTTATTGTTAATTTAATAAGTCAAATAATATACTATATTAATTTGTGGATTTAAGGAGATGGTTATATAAGACCTATTTTTAATTTTCAAGATGTATTCTATTTAAAATGTTCTCATACGATTATTCTTACTGTGATATCTTCAACATTTTTAGATTCCTTTTCAACTAAAATTAACAAAAGAATAGACAATACCTTTTCATTCTTAGCGTAACAGGCTAAAAGTAAAAACTTTGGGATACTATCAAGATTTAAATAACTGAAATTAAATTATTAATGAAACAGAATATTCTCAGAATAAAAGAATCAACAGCAACAATTAAAATGTTAATTTTAAACATTCGGTAATAAAATTCAGCAATACCTTAGGTTTCTGGAGTGGATGAAGCATTATTTTAATGAAAAAACGTTGTCATTTAAAATGAGTTCTACTTTCATTCTTACTTCATTCATGTAAATCTTTCACTTTTAGCGCCTTTGCAAATCACTAAATAGTGTTATCATTTTATTTATTGATTGATGTGGCTTCATTTAATATTTATTCAATGGTATATGTTAGTGCAAAAAGAAGCGTTTTTGTAAACATATAACATTAAATTTGTTACAGGTAATGTGCGAGAAACCATCAGAAGAAAAGATTGAGGAACGCCTTCTCAATGGATCATACGTGCCCGCGAAATTTAGGTAAGTGAAGCATAAGAAGGACTTCTAAAATGAAAAGTGTATGTTTTTACAAGATATAGTAAAATAAAAAAAAGCAACAACAGCACTAAAACTTTCTCCAGCAAAGATAGAGAATATACGTTCCCTTCAGTTTTAAATGGAGGCTTAACATTATCGGATGCTACGAGACAGTTGATAGGTGACAGGTGACTGCAAGCCCTGGACACCCGCACGACTTTGCAAAAGACTACTCGGGTGTAGTTCAGGACCCGCAACTATCTAGAAAAACACCCCTTGGGGCCGCCCGAGCCTCCCGCGCCCGGCGCCAGTTGTTGATAGGTGACAGTAGGTTTGGACACCCGTGCGGGTTTCAAAGAGTATTATGGTATTGTCCGTAACCGGCATCTATCTAGAGCACTCCCCCCCCCGGCGACCCAGAAGCGCCACATCGGGAGTTTATTGAAGTCTCACAACAATATTACAATTCATTAAATTGTTTACAATAGCTTTAAGTTTCACGTAAGCTACACAGATGCGTACCGTGGTACATTGAATTTAATATATTGTAGAGTCATTAGGTTATTTAAAGCAGGAGACGGAAAAAATGAGCAATATCCTCGCCGGCACTCGAACCTAGACCTCTCAAATACCCGCTAAGTGTGCTAACGTTACACCACAAATGCATGCTGAAAGGAGGGAGAAAATACCTTGCACATTCCCCCTTTTAAAGGGCCACAGGATATTAGGGGATACAGTCGCCAAATCCTGGTGGTGAAGAATCATCATCCACCACCTTTTAGGTCGGGCTCCACTGTAGAGACATTATGTTATTTGGAAGCAGGAACACACGAAAGATGAGCAATGTCCTTGCTGAGACTCAAATCTGGACCTCTCGAATACGCGCCGTGTGTGCTACTGTTACACCCCGAAGGCATGCTGAAAGGAGCGAGAAAATACCTTATAATATTACATAGATATTCGTGACAATTTAACATTGATACACTACATTAATACTGATTACACATAACCTAAACACACGGCATTGCACATGACATTAATATACTGCTTAGCACTTTATACTACGCTACATTACGTAGATGTTCATGGCACATTACATTGGCACACTATATTAATACTCATTACACATAACAACAAGACACTACATTACACGTGACATTAACGTACTGCTTAACACATTACACTACGCTAAATTAATATGGAACAGACAGATACAGTTCCAAGTTCCGCTGGATGCGCCGCTGATTAACTTGCAGGATTTGCAAGTTTTGTTCCGGCTGTCTGAGTTAGTTGCTATAGAGCGCTGAAAGTAGGAGAATGCATGAGTGAAACCTAAGTCAGGATTGCAGATGTGAGAGGGCGTGACTACCTTGTCACGTGAGGTGTGAAGTAGTCGTTAATACGTTGAGAGATTTCAGGTTAGAAATGAAGAAAACATTAAAGGTACAAAATTGCAGAAATAATTACATAAAAGGGAAATTTTTCTAGTAATCATCAGAGTAACATCCTATGAAATAAACCAAATTTCATCACATAGTACAGTCTAGCAGTCCTGTAAGTTGAAGTTCTGAGTTCACGATAACGTGATGGGGGTGGTGTAAACAGAATCATGTTTTCATTATAACAGTCGAAGATGTTTCAGGAAAGCAAATATGCAATAATTTTAGTAAGAGTTACAAAATAACAGAAAAAAATGCAGAACAAATGTTAACACAAAATACATATATACAAATTCAAGATGTCTATCCCAGAGCATACTTAGACTTAATCTATTATACTTAGAATAAGTCACATATCAAGTGAGCGGAATCAGATCTTTCTGATTCGCTTAGCGTAAACTTGTCCAAAGCTGATGAAAAGAGTAAAATAATTAAATAATGGGTTGCAAGAGCGAAAAATCACTATTTTTCCCATGTTCTTCAATATGATAGATATAAGGAATACCAGAAATTTCAGTCTTAAAAATGCAGAAAGTCCTACAACAAGGCTGAACATAGAACTCAAGTTCTTAGGTCACGTGGGAGGTCACTCTCCCAGGCGCTGACTTTTAGCAGTGCTTCTTGAATATTGAACGCTAAATTAATATGAGACAGACAGATACAGACTCTTGCAACGATCATTTGCAAGAGCGCGATGTGTAATATTGGTTCGGCATACAATCGGATGGCACGTAGTTTTAATGGTGTATTACCTAAGAAATGCATTTTTACTGAAACATATTTCACCAAGTAAGCAATATGTGGTTGTACGTCATTTGTCAGCCAACGACAAAACGTTGATCAGTGTTTCTAAGTAGATTCCCGCCGAATGTCAATAAAACTGTGTCAGGAAAAGCTAATCATAAACAAAACACGTGTTCGCTTCAAACTGTAACGTTATACCTCAGTTCTTAGAATACCTGCGATGCACAAAAAATGCATATAATAAGGATTTCTCAGCGAAAATGCTGTTTTCACGTAGTACACTTAGCAAATTCACCTGAATCCGGCTGGAGACGAATCATTCGTATACACGGCACTCTTGCGCTTGTGTAATCTTCATTCTCTGACATCACCAACCTATTTCTCTCTCGTAACGTTTAGAACGATGAGGGCTATATTTGAAGATGCTCAGTATCCCCTTGGGTACAAATCGTTTATTGCCCTTGTCTGTTCTTCCACATCCTTTTGTAAGGCAACCAGTACAGATTCTGGATAGTATGGACACTAATGTAAATTCATTCTCACTTGTGTTGTATACGGATGGTAGTAGGATTGATGATAAAGTTGGTTTTGCTTATGTTATTTTTGAAGATGATATTGAAATTGAGTGCCACCAATTTCGCATTAGAATTGAATGTACTGTATATATTTCTGAGCTTCCGTGTATTAATTTTGAATTAATAATTTGGGATTACAATTAATAATTTTTGGATAATTAGTCAGGATAGACGTGGTCCCAGCTACTTAATCTGTACGGATTCACTCTCTTCCCTGGAGTCTCTTAAAATTGCCTCTTTATGCAATGATATTAGCAGTCTCTCGGAGATCTGGAGAGGAAGGGTATTTTCAGTGTTTTTTACATTTGCCCGTGGTCATTCGGGTAATTACGGAAACGAGAGAGCTGGTTGGCTTGCTAAGAATGCAACTAAAAATGATATTAATGTTGATGCAAATATTCCAAAATCTTATTTCAAAAAAACATTCAAAGCTAAAATGATTGAGCAGTGGAACTGTTATTATATCTCTTCTGATAAGGGATCTGTTACAAAAACATTCTTCCCAACTATTTTTGAAAGACTGAAAAATAAGGACTTGTTGCTCAATTTTAAAGTTACGCAATTTTTGTCTGGACATGGTAAGCTTAATGTTTATCTTGAACGGTTTAAGCTGACGTCTTCCAATTTGTGTTATTGCAATCTTAGCGTTCAGCAAAGTGTTTTCCACCTGCTTTTTGACTGCCCATTGCTTGATAAAGCAATATATCTATTGAAATGTAGATTAAAATTAATTTGAATTCATTGGCCGCCGAAATGTTATGATTCTGTATCTTCAGCTTCAGCCTACCCAGCTTTACGCGATTTTGTTGATTTTTATTTTAAACATTGTAAATAATTTCTTTATACATTTTTATACTTTTATATTTACTTTTTTGTGTTTTTTTTTTCCTTTGTATATGATTTCATTGTATTATTGAAAATTGATGTTATTACTTACAATTTTGCCTTTTTTACTTACGATTTGTAAATCTCGTGTGATACTTTGTGGTGTACGAGGATTTCTTTTTCTTTAAATAAATAAAAAAATTCCCTTTGGGGGGGGGATATTTTTAGCGCTCCTATAAAATTTTTATTTGGTTAAATCAATATTTTGATCCTTCGAAACAAATTTAAGAAATATTATGTTAAACAATTGAAGTTAAAATTATATTAAACAATTGAAGTTATGTTCTGCTGTAAGGTTTTTAAAATATGTCTCCTGTTTCAGAGTCATGGGAGCAGTGTCAAATTTACCACAGTTTGCACAGGATTTTAATTGCCCATTAGGTGCACCAATGAATCCAGAACTCAAATGCCAAGTTTGGTAGGCAAGCTTCCTGAAAATACTACAGTTTTAAATTCTAAATTAATATATTACTAATCTGCAAACGCATTATTTGCACAAATGTACTGCATGTAAAATTTGTAAACAGTTTTACATTGTAAACAATTGCTTTCATTTAAATAAAATATTGATTTTCAAAAGTGCTCTACATTATTTTATGTATGTACACATAACCGCGGCCCTCGTTCTGACAAAATCTAAATATTATCTCTAATTTCATTTGTTTATCATTACGAATGATGTACAAAGAAAAAGAAATAAGGAATGAAGACCAGCTTCGATTTCAAGAACTCCTTCGGCACATACTCTCTAGCACCCGTCTCACCAATCTAACATATTTTTCGGTCAATTTCTTTGGCTTTCCTTCAATATATATAGGAACGAGTACAATGTCATAGGAAAAATGGCGTCATGAAAGGACATATCAATTATATTATAGAAAGCACTAAAAATTTTGCTTCCGTAGCTTGTGTAAAATCAGAAATTTTGAAGGTACATTATGTTATAGTTCCTTATACCATGCTACAGACCATACCATGTATACCATGTTACCTTATATCATGTTGCAAGAAAACAATCAACACTGTCAGAGAGTCAGACCTTCTGTCAGAGAGAAAGCGCCTGGCTTCGTAAAAAAAGAAAAGCTATTTTTTAGGGACATTTCTTGAAAGTAAAACTCTCACTGCCGTAACACTTCAGCGGTTCTGCGAGATAATTCAAACATATAATAGTTCAATCATGGTAGTCAAAACAGAGTAAACATGCTGAGAGAACGGACATTGAGCCTAAAAGCGTGGGCAAGACCCTAGAAAACCGGAATCATGAAAAATACCAGACCAAAACCCAGAACAGCAGGAAAAATGCCAGGAAATGTGTAGAATCTCAGTTTTGCAGGCAATAATCCCTGTGAATATCTTTTATCAGATGACAAAGAAGTCGAAATGAGATTGAAAAAAGAGTAAAGGAATGAAGGTCAGCTCAAGCCCACGAAATTCCTCGTGGCTTGAGCAGCTTAGGTCCATTTCTTTGAAGTGACTTCTTTCAAAAGTTCGTTAGTCGAGACTTTGATGATAGACCCATAACAAAGGTTCACTGCGTATATATTCTGCTCTGTTTACGCTTGACTATCATTTGAAAAAACGTAAATTTTAATAGATATATTAAGATTAAAGAAGTAAGTAATAGTTGTTTTATTATCTTTCATTATTACCGAATTGCTTGCTATGTAAGCAAGCAAGAAAGGGCTCTCTGTCTAAGGGAAGGTATGCCTCGTGGGCTATTTTTAAAGGAAATGGCTCGTAATGAAGGTCATAAATGGAGAATTTTACTAAAACGCCTATGCAACCGGATCACTTGCTGGGAAATGAGCACGAAATCAAGTTTTAGTACTCAGCAGTCTTAGCTACTGGATCACAAGTGAGCTCCCGGATGCGTCCATATGATTACATACACATCTCTTGAATTTTAATTACTGTGATTTACTATAGTTCGACAGCGAGAAACCCAACTGGCGACATTCTATCAAAACACTTCGAATCGGCCAGAAGGAGTGTTAATTACGTGATGTAAGGCAGAGGAATCAATGAGAGTTCTCTCTTCTCCGGGACGGGAGAATTAGCTATGGAAGGAGAGAAAAAATCTAATTTCATCGAGTGATTCTGTCATCTACTGTCTTTGGCCTCTTTGTTTCACTTCGCAGAAAAATTAATGTTGATTTTTTTAATAGTATATCAGTTTTTTACGTGGATAGTGGATTATATCATCGTTTAATTTAAAATGGACTAAAAATAATTAATTACATTTTTTAGCAGAAGCATATCTTGCAGTAAATAGGGAAAAAGGGGGGACAGATTTTCACCCCATTTATCGGGGATCTCCTCTGGTCGTATATTCCCTGATTTAACGTGACATTTGCCAGAGATTTTAATCTTTATACAAGAATTTTTTCCTTCAGTTTTTTGAACTAAGTTTCTTTTTTTTCTTCCCCCTTCCATATAATAATGTTTTTAATAATGCGCATAGATTTTAGCTCAAAAGGCAAAGAGAAATGCTAAAATTATTTATCATAATATAATTATTATAATTAATAAACTATATATACTTTATGATCGTAAAATATAAATTAAAAAATTTCTTTCATTTCAATATGTGCATAGATTGTATCTCAAATATAAAAAGCTATATAATTATTATTAATTATAGTATAATTTGAATAGTTATTTATTTTAATAAAGTTACTGTAATCAATTATAATAAAAAACAGCATTCGACACAGCAGCAAAATCTTAAATTGGCTGTACTTTTCTAGAGATGTATGCATTTTGAAAGAATCTGGTTCAGTTATCTTTTTTCAAATATTAACAGTTTTAAGATACAATAACACGCCGAACAAATATTAATTTAAAAGGCAAATAACAAAATTCAGCCTCATATTTTCAAATTTTCACAGGACTAGTTTCGATGTTTTTACCGAACCACCATCCGCAGATTCAAAACGCAAATGAACGAGATAAGATATAATGATTCGATAAGATAAGATAAGAAATAAGATAAGAAATAAGATTAGATCATATCTCGTTTATTTGTGCTTTTGCAGCTGAGAATGATGGTTCGGTAAAACCATCGAAACTAGTCCTGTGAAAATTTTAAAATATAACGCTGATTTTTGTTGTTTGACTTCTAAAATTAATATTTTAAGTTTAAAAAAAACTAATAATTGCCGAAAATCCTTCCGAAAGTAGTTGGTTATAATGCTACATCTGAGCAAATTTCAGCTTTTAGTTTCTGTCTTTCTCTTGCACTTATTATTGTAACCAGAAATTTGACAATTGTATTTTTTAGATCTTTAAAATTCTTGAAAAAATATAATTACGCTGAATAATTTTAAATTCAAAGTTGATTAAATGTTTTCTGCTTTAATTTTTTAACTTTACTTAAATACATTACAAATAGTCGAAAATGCAGAAGCAAGTAAAACTTCCTCCAGGTTGATGATCACTCAGTAAAAAGTTAAGTACATAGAAAAGCTTGGAGAGATACTCAAGAAAAGTTATTTTCATAATTGTACGAGTATTATGTAATGAAATAACTTCAGCAATTTTCCTCTTTTCATTCCCTTGTTAGTACTTTGTTTCCTAATTTATTTTGCATAATTCTAGTGTTTTAAGTTTGTGTAAATTTTTAGCGAAGTTCGAAACAAAAATCTAAAAAATAAATCCTGTCTATAACTAGGATACCGTGTTTATGAAGCTTCATTTTTCCTTTCAGAATGTTAATTTCATTTTTTAATTTACTACACTTTTAAACAAAACAATGGGCATGAAGAAGTAGCCGATTATTTAATCAAATTCGTCAGGAAGAGAGTAAAGTTTCAAAAAATAAAAAAAATGCTCTAAAAAAATATTTTTCAAGTGTTCTTAAAATATTTTGATTTCTATCTCTAATCGCAGAGACGAATAAGAGAGATGAATTTATTGCCTTTCTTTTAACTTCCAATTTTTCCTTAAGCTAAAACAGTTTCATGAGTTATTCCTAATTTCTTTTCAAACTCACACATTCTCAACAGTCTGAAGAAAATAAGTTGCAAAAAAATAGAAAGCGAATAAAAAGAAGGAATGAAAAGTAAATATAAAAACTAAAGCAAAGTTGGAAATAACGTTAAGATTTCGTATTTCCTTTAGGGAAGAATTTTTTGTTTATTTAGATTTTTCGGCTGTTTCTGCATTAAAGCCTCTAACATTTGAAATGTAAACGGTATTAGTATTCAACTGAAAGATTTTTGCGAAGCATTTTTCACACCCTGTGTTTGCATATTGCATAAATTTTTCAATTTTGATCTTGAAACTATTGATTTAGTTCGGTTGGAGAAATGAAATGAATTCGTAAATGCTATACTTAAGCATCTATTCAAGTTTCGAATCCTAAATAAAAAAAATTTAACTAAATTTGCATTTATCTTTAAAAATTGAGAATATATGTTATAAATATAAATTTAAATAACACGATAATTTTCTACAGATTAGTTTTCTTATTTGTTACAGAAATTAACATTCTGAAACCAACAGAAATTAGTGTGAATTCGAAACAATACATAACCTAAATTGGGAAATGTTAAGCAATATACACTGGTGTGCAAAAATTAAGGACGAGACGGTTTTTTCAATATAACTTTGTACAAAAGCTTTCCAAATCAACACATTTAATACCCTAAGATCCCCAATACGTAAGGACATGAGTAATGTAAGCAACACTAAACTAAAAGAGAAATCAGAGGGAAAAAAAAGAAGCTTTATTGAAAAAGTAGCATGGAGCGCAATGAGACTGAAGGCCGAAACATCCCTGTGATGGGTGTCCAGCAAGAAACATCCGGTCTATAATAGGGGATATGATCTCCCCTGACTGCTAGGCAGGTTTCACAGCGTCTGCCCATGCTGAGAATGAGGGTGTCAATGAGTTGTTGAGGCATTGCTGCCCATTCGTCTTGCAGCGCCAATCGAAGCTCCGGAATCGTTATTGGTGGTAAGGTACGAGCTGCCAAGCGTCTGCCTAGAAAATCCCATACATGCTCGATGAGATTGAGATCCGGAGATCGTGCAGGGCCAATCCATACGTTCAATATCCTCACTCTCTAAGAGCTGTTCGGCAGCTACTGTGCGATGACATGGTGCATTGTCGTCCATGAAAAAAGGAACTGCGGACCCATAGCGCCTCTAAAAAGACGCACATATGGAAGAAGAATCTCGTTACAATAACGGGTCCCGTTGACTGAACCTGCGTCGAAGATGTGAAGGTCTGTACGACTACCAAGCATGATGCCTCCCCAAACGAGAAACACCGCCACCTCCATACCATACCTGTCCCTTTCAATGATGTTCGAGGGATGATTGCGGCTTCCCAGCTCTCTCCAGATGAGTATGCGATGAGAATCGCTACTCAGACTGAATCTGCTCTCATCTGTAAAGAGTACTCGTCCCCATTCATTGTCTCTCCAATTCCGGTGTTCCCGGCACCACAGAGAGCGCGCCTTTTCCGATGGGCAGGCTTAGAGGTACACACCGTACAGGGCGTCGTGCAAACAGACCACCACCGTGCAGTCTTCTGGCCAC